TTGTCTTTATTGAGAAGTACGTATTTGGTTTAACTAGTAAATGGAGTTAAATCAGTTTATCTTAAGGTCTCTAATTTAAATAATTATGAGATATATAATTGTGTTAAATAAAATAATATTCCCAAGTTTTTCAGAACCAGTGACAATAGCGAATAGAATTAAGAAAGAGATTATCCCATGCTGTTGGGCCAAAAGTATTACTTATATTTTAGATTACATAAAATAAAATTGAAAGTTGAGAATACTATTTAAAAAAAAAGGTTGGATTACCTTGAAATCTCGTACGAGTAAATTAATTATTGCAAAATTCATTAACAACTAAAATAAAGCCATTGACAATCTTAATTCAGTTGTTAATAAATTTTATAGTAATTATTTTTTTTGAATAGGACCTATGTGTAATTCTCCCAAAAAAAAGTTGTTGGTCAATGCATCCTTTGGACAAGAAATCTATATTAATAAATAATACACACACAATATATATATATATATATATATAAACTAGGAGCATCCTGCTAATGTGGCATGTATTTGAAATATTTTAGTTATGTATAATTCATATTGAAAAACACGAAATCCCAAGATTAGCTACAGTAATCTATATTAATAATTGATATAACACCGACATATACTCCCTCCGTTTTTTAATATAACTAACATTTTCATATTGTTTCTTTATTTTCTTAATAAACAAAACAACAAATTTTTAAGAGGCGTGCATTTGTGATATCTTTTCTTAATTTGACTTCTATAAATGATAATATTATTAAATTAAAAAATAATCAAGAGTATTTTTTATTAGCCAAACTTTTTAATTTTAAACCTAACTATTAAGATTAATCAAATTTTTTATACTCTGTGAATTGATTAAAATTTTTTTATATTTAAAAATGGAAGGAGTACTTTCTATTCATTTCGTAAATAAATTAATATTTGGTTTACAATTTATTCTAAGAAATTTGAAAAGATTACTTGAACCCTATTTTTGTGTTCCATGCCAATAGGGTTCCCCCACCCCGCCCTAATCCACAGAGAGAGAAAGAGAATAAATAATTAAGATAATTTAAAAAAAATCATAACTTACATCTAAAAATAAATAATATAAGTTAAGCATATAATTTTTTTTTTCATATTAAACTGTACTAAATATTATCCACATCACGCATTTTTTAATTAATTATTAAGTGATTGTCAAACTATTTTTTAAATGCTTCCGAAAAAATAATTTCTTAGGTTCGTTCCACGTTAATAATTGCTAATTTTTAATGAACTGGGGACATGAAATTTGAGGAACATCTAATTAGCTAAGCCATATTTGACCGAGTAAATTTTGAGCCAACTATGATTTATCTGCTTCAACGATTAAAAAAACAGTAGAAAAATAGTTTATTTAAAAAAATCATTTAACTGTTTCCTTAACAGACAGATTCTAGAGCGGGCGAGGAGGGGGTGTTAGTAAAAATTACAGATTTTGGCTTCTAAATTACAGGTTTTGCTTGTAAAAATTTTTAAAATAGATTTTGGCCCCCATTCAATGTTTTACTTTAATTTCACCCGATGTATTAGTTTCTAAATCTATCAAGGTATTAAAAATCAGACTGATTATTAAAATGGCTAAGATTAAGGATTAAGGGTTAAAAGTTGAACTAGAATTAGACTGGCATGAAATTTTTGCAAAAAAAAAAATACAACTTAAATAGAATATATATATATATATATATATATCACAAAGAGACTATAAATTAGAAAGTAAAAGCAACTTCTTTTTGCCCTTAGCTCTATTAGAGCCGGAAATAAGAGCCGAGCATGGATGCCCTATTTAAATAAGAGTTTGGGCTTTAAAAATTAAATTCTTTTTAAAGTAACAGAGCTTAAGTGCCTGACTCTGATAAGCTCTATGAAAAAGAGTCTAGATTTGGGTGGCTCTTCAAACCCTAATAAGTCTAGTTATTTTATACACACACACGCACACGTACATACATATATTTGATTAATAATGACACAATTTGATTAATATTTATTGTTGGTGATAAATAAGAAGTTGTTGAAATAATTGACATTGAATTTTCACCTACATCTTCAATAAGTGGACCTAGATTTGAGGTATTTAATATTTTATTTTTAGATGATGATGATAAAAATTTATATTTACATTAATAAAAATTTTAATCTTTATCTTAAATTTAAAATTTAAAATCTTTGTTGAATTTTATGTTAAATTTTATGTGAGACTTTGCTTTGTTTTATATTAAATTTTAAAATACTATATTTAAATTAAAATGTTGAATTTTTTTGAAAAAAAGAGCTTAAGGGCCAAGCCCTAAGCCCTTTAAATAATGACAAAGCTTCAGAATTAAGTTGAATTTTGGATAACTAGACTTTGAAACATCAGCTCTGAAGGGTTGAGCTTGCCCTAATTCCCACCTCAATTACTAAATATTTTTAAAGAATAAGAGCAATGCGACTTGAGCAAACATAGAGCTGTTTGCTTAAGTCACATTACTCTTATTCTTTCATTTTCAAAAGAGTCCAACACTAAAAGCTCTTTTCTCCCTCTTCCACTTTTGATTTTAGTTTTATCTCTCCTATTTTTACATTTTCTTCTTCAAGCAAGTGAGAAAAATATGAACTCAAAAGCCATGAGGAAGGAGGAACTAAGAAGGAGAAAAAGCGAAGTAGAGATGAGTTCAATAAGACTGACTAGAAGCAAAGGTGCAATAATAAGTAAAGAAAGATGAAGGTAGAGGGCATGAGCGCACAGATGGACAACAAAGGAGTTTAAGCTCTACAATTAAGAGTCAAGATCTAAAAAGCTTGAAGCTTTGAGACGATGCGACCGACGAAGTAGCTGGTTGAAGCTCACTGCTCAGGGACGGTCATAGACAGCAAGATGGAGAAGATAGCCGATGACACGATAGAGAAGAGAACAAAGATGGAGTCATAGAGAGGAGAGGTCCAAGTCCAAGAGTCGAAGATGGAGAAAAGGTTCATTATTCATTAGCACTTTTGCCTTTTTTATTTTTATTTTTTACCCTAAAATGATGTCACTTTAGGGTCAGAATTTTACAAAAATTTCAACCCGCCTAACGCATTGATCCGGGTTAATCTCTGGTTAACTTGGGTCAATTGAGGCCAGCTTGAAATAAAAAATTGGACCAGATGAATGGCCAATTCATCGGTCTAACTAGCCAATCTGATCCGACTTTAAAAACAATGAAATCTAGCCCTACTTAAACATGTTTGCAAGGCATTTACAGTCTATCTCCTACAATTAAAAACAAATATATAGTTAGCTCAGTCCGGTATTTTCAATTCAAAATCTAATTAAACAATAACAATAACGTAAACATTTCAATAATTCAAAATCTAATTCAAATCACATATCCAATCTAAACTTAAACTATCTACAAATGCAAGTAAGTACTAAGTTCTAACAATTCAACTCTAACCTTAACTATTGAAATAAACTAAACTAACTAACAAATCAATTCAAAAATAACCAAACTAACAATTAAAATCTTCTAAACTAATTGCCCATGAAAATCCATAAAATACTCCATCCACCATTGCAAACTAAAGGCTGAAGAAATTTCAATTTCAATTTGACAAAAAAAAAAACCATCCAAGAAAAATTCAAAATGTACTTGGACAAAAGAAGAAATTGAGCTCTCGAGCCCTCTACACATGGGAGATTGAAGCTTTGAAAGACTAAGGTCATGTTTGTTTACTAGAAAAAAAATGAAATGAAATGGATTAAAAAAAAAAAGATAAAAATAAGATAATCAAAAGAAATAGGTGAGCCGTGAGCACATTCATGCATGAGGAGAAGGAGTATTTTAATTTATGGGGTTGAGAGTTATGATTCATGAGATTTTTTTTAAGAGTGTAAAGATTCCCACATTTGTATTATATATGAATGAGTTTTATCATACTTATCATGGGAGAAAGGATGATTTAATTTATTTTTGTCTTAATTTTTTTAGTTTATTCCTTTATAGTAACCAAACGTCACTTGAAGCTCTTGATGAAGATTATGGGTTTGTGGGTGTTTCTGGGTTTCAGGAAGAGGATGAAGCTACAAAATCGAAGAACACGATGGCTAGAACACCGGATTCAAGGAAGAATGGAGGAAGAACACTGGAACACGATGAAGCACGCTGTGAATTCAAATAAGGAGAAGAATAATCTATAAAACATTGTATTTGGGGGATGCAATGAGCTGGGAGCAAGAGCAGGGCTTTTTCAAGCTGGGCCAACGCGCAATGACTTGACCTATAAAGACCATTCAAGAAAACAAATTGATTTGAGCTAGAAAGAGTTTTGTTTATTTTCAGAAAGATTATCTAAACTGGCTGTACTGACAACCGATTTAAAAAGTAATTAAAATAATTTCTTTAATTTTAAATCACTTTCTAAATTTCTTCAAAAAAAAAATGACTTTCTAAACTGGTTTAGAAAGTGAACAAAAACATATTTTCTGGATAAAAAAACTTTCTATACTAATTAGTATAATGTGAGGTTTAGAAAGTATAAAAAATTAAAACTGGAGAAACAAAAAAAAAAAACATCATCCGAATCGGTTGTTCTCTGAACCAGTCTAGAATATAGATTTTAGACTGGTTGTAATATGAATTGGTTCAGAAAGTCTCCTTGACACACTATTTATCTATAAAATTACCACCTCCTCTATCTTCTAAACCATTGGCACAAGAGCAAGTTTAGAAAGGCCAGTTTAAATAGCCGTTTTTCTGCTGGTGTGTTTTACACTGGGTACATGAATTATGATTTTTAATGTGTGTGTGTGTATGCTTTTTTTTTATACAGAAATCGCAGTCCATAATCCTGGTCAGAGCATGAGATCACAAAACTTGACCTTGTGAATTTAATATGCTGTGAAAATGACTCTATAATTCATTAAGAAAAAGAATCTATAACGAAGAGATGCTTAATGGGTTATAAAAAAAGAACTTTGCTCTGAACAAACGAGCATACTCTGAAAAATGGCTTATCTAAAAATTTCTCTCTTCCGCGCCATTCATCTTCATTGCTTGGTCTTTTGGTCACTATGCCTTCTCACTTCAGGACTTACAGAAACTGAAGCTCTGCTTAACTGGAAACAAAGTCTTCCATACCAACCAATTCTGGATTCATTGGTCTCACAACCTCTCACCAATTCCAGTGCAGCTCAAAACCCTTGTTCTTGGCGAGGAATCAAGTGTGATCCTTCTGGAAGTGTGATTGAACTGGACTTGAATAACACTGGTCTCAAAGGTACCCATCAAAACTTGAATTTCTCTACGTTTCCAAATCTTCTTCTTCTTAATCTCAAATTTAATCAGCTCACTGGCCCCATACCAGAAACCATTGGGTTGCTATCAAAACTCCAATTCCTTGATCTTAATCGTAATTATCTCAATGGCACTATTCCTCTTTCTCTTGCTAATCTCACTCAACTCTATGAGCTTGATCTTTCACAAAATGATATTACGGGTATTTTAGACCCTCGTCTATTCCCTGATGGCAGTGATCAACCCAAAACTGGCTTGATTGGAATAAAATATCTTGTGCTTCAAGGCTTGCGCCTTGGTGGCAAGGTTCCAAATGAAATAGGGAATTTGAAACAGTTGACTATTCTAGCTCTATATCAAAATGGCTTTTACGGACCTATACCTCTTTCTCTAGGGAATTGTACACATCTAAACATTCTCTCTTTGGCTGCAAACAGTTTCTCAGGCACAATTCCTCCTATTCTTGGTAGACTACCCAATCTAACTGAGATTCGCTTGTTAATGAACAATTTGTCTGGTCATTTACCACAAGAATTTCAAAATCGTTCTTTTACTATGCTTAATCTATCTAATAACAATTTCACTGGCCAGTTACCACCACAAGTATGCAAAGGTGGTGAGTTACTTGAGTTCACTGCAGCTTACAATAGATTCACTGGTCCAATTCCCACGAGCCTCAGCAACTGTACATCTTTGGTTAGAGTCCGTCTTGAACATAACCAATTGACAGGATATGTAGATGAGGATTTGGGAGTTTATCCCAATCTTACCTACATTGACCTCGGCTACAATAGGCTGCAAGGTAAGTTTTCTGCAAAATGGGGTGCCTGCAAGAGCTTGCAAGCTCTTATGATGTCTGGAAATTCAATAGGGGGAATTTTACCGAGTGAGGTTTTTCAGTTGAAACAATTACAAAAGCTTCACTTGTCTTCAAACCAAATATCTGGAGAGATTCCTCCTCAAATTGGAAATTCTTCAAGCTTGTACCATCTACATCTGGCTAGCAACAATCTTTCAGGTATGATACCAGAAGGCATTTGGAAGCTTTCTAGTTTGGAGTCTCTAGATCTGTCAATGAATAGATTAAGGGGACCTATCCCTTATCAAATAGGTGATTGCTATAAGTTGCTGAATTTAAATTTTAGCAACAATGACCTTACTGGCAAAATCCCATACCAATTAGGAAATCTTGTGGCCTTACAAGATTTTTTGGACTTGAGTTACAATTCACTTTCTGGAGAAATCCCTGTTGATCTTAGTAAACTCAACAAGTTGGTAAGCTTGAATATGTCTCACAATAATTTGTCAGGTCCTATCCATAATTTTTTAGCAAGAATGTTAAGCTTGTCAAGCATCAATCTCTCCCATAACAATTTGGAAGGTGTTGTACCAGATAGTGGAATTTTTAATTCTTCAAATCCAGTGGATCTAAGTAACAACAAAAATTTATGTGGGAGGGTCCCAGGCTTAAAACCTTGCAACATGTTAACTGTAAAGACACATGGTGGAGCAAACAAAAAGAAAATTGTGACAGCTGTCACTTCTTCTTTGGCTGTGGCATTGATTTTGTTGGGAGTGGTTGGGGTTTTTTAATTCGCTATAAGAGAAACTCAAAAGCTGTAGAACATAACACCAGAGCCAGTAAAGAAAATCTATTATGGCACTTTGATGGCAAAATTATGTACGAAGACATAATTGAAGCAACTGGGAACTTTGCTGAAAAATACTGCATCGGGGAGGGAGCTTTGGAAAAGTTTACCAGCTGATATTACCAGGGGATAGAGTATTTGCTGTAAAAAAGTTGACATGTCAAGCTGAGAACCTTGATATTGATAGTATAAAAGCTTTTAAGAGTGAGATCAAAGCCTTGACAGAAACACTCACCGAAACATTGTGAAGTTGTATGGATTTTGCTCGCAGAAGTTGCACACATTTTTGATCTATGAGTACATGGAAAGAGCGAGCTTAGCTGATATGCTTAGAAATGATAAAGAAGCATTAGAGTTGGATTGGTCAATGAGGTTTAATATTATAAAGAGTGTAGCACAAGCTTTATCTTACATGCACCATGATTGCAATCCACCAATTGTTCATAGAGATATATCTAGCAAAAATATTTTACTGTCTTCAAATCTGGAAGCCCATGTCTCAGATTTCGGCACAGCAAGATTCTTAAAGCCTGATTCATCGATTCGGACAACATTTGCTGGGACATATGGCTATGCTGCTCCTGGTGAGTTCCACATGAAACCTCGTTTAACTCTGTTCAAAACTTTCAAGTTCTTATATGATAAGCAAATCTCCACTTAATTTTGCCTTATGCAGAGCTTGCGTACACAATGGCAGTGACAGAGAAAATTGATGTCTATAGCTTTGGTGTTTTGGCTATTGAGGTGCTTATGGGAGAGCATCCTGGAGAATTAATATCCAATACCCAAACAAGCGGGATGAACCAGATCAACTTGAAAGAGATTCTGGACCCTCGTTTATCATCAACAAATCAGCAAAACTTGAAGAAATTGGCTTTGACTTGGCATCTAGCTCTTTCATGCTTACAGGCAAACCCTCGATCTCGGCCAACCATGCGAAATGTTGCCCAGTTGATGGAAATGGAGCGTGCATAGGAGCCATGATCGTTGATTGGCGTATGTCAGCTTTTTTTTTTTTTTTTTTTTTTATAGAAACAAAATAAGCATCTGAAGCACATATAATATCTCATTAGGACACGTGCCTGTGCCTGTCCCAAGCGTTAAGAATTCCATTTTCTTGATCAACGTATATTCATTAAACTTTGGTAATTCCTAAGTTTACGTCCGTTTGGTTGAGGTGCAGAAGGCACTCCTTCATAATTTAGTTGGGTATAAAGCATTTGAACATTGCTGCCTTTTCAAACCAAAGAACAACCATATGTAGATGATGACTTCAACGTTCACCTAGCTTAGAACCTAAAGCAAGACACCCTTCATAAAGAAACAAATCAATCTAACAATTGTAGGTCTCCAAATATCCTTCTTGTTAATTATACTCTTATTCAAAGCCAAAACCCGGCAGAATGAGAAGCAATGAAGCTTAGTGCTGAAGTTAGCCTTCAAGATGATACAAATCCACTCATTGCCATGGCAGCAAGGTATAGATACATCCAAATCCAGACTTAGACAACTTAAAACAGAGCATCTTACACACACATATATATCAAATGTTAGCCGCCCTTCTTTTTTGCCTATAAACCAAAGGCTTGAAATCCCAGATCAATTCGTAGCCCCCAAATTCACCAATCATAATGCAGCAAGGACAAACATAAAGATAACATCTCATCTTCGGAAGCCACTCTTTAAAACCAATAAAGCGATTTACCTTCAGTTTCCAAATGGCTAATCATATCGAAGGGAACACTTGATATGAGCAACTAGGATCTCCATACACTTTCTTTTCCATAACGAGCTCAGAACAAACTCCCATTATCCTGCCAATGTCCGCAGACGTCCGCCTTAGCTTGGCGAAAACCAATAACAACATTAGTACTGAAATGAGAGTTTGATTAAATAAAATTCTCAACATAAGATTTTTGATTCCTCTTAAGATCCAGAAGCTCTTTACGTCGTTCCACTCTTTCTACCCGCTTCCTCTCAGCCCACCATCATTGAGGACTGATACCTCACGACGCTGGAGTATAGGATTCCATTGCAAAATTGGCTTTAATATGAGATTTTCCAATCCATCACCCATAGATCTTACAAGGTGTATTTTAGGAATTCCTTCAACCTGAGACCCCGTCCTTTCTGAAAATTCAATCCCCAAACCTCCATTTCTCATGAAGGCATCGTTCAACTTGCTGATGTTAAATAAACTCAGTCTTGTTTGAGGAATTACTAGATTTTCCTTTAAAACATAGATAGCTCCGTCATCCGACCTCCTTTGTCCATAGTAGATCTAAGATTTCGACATTTTCGATTATGTTCTCGTCGGTCCCGATCTCACCTTCATCATTTCCACTTTCAGCATCACCGTTCTTGTTAAGATTCTGAATCCTTCCAACGTCATTTGGCCATAGTAGATCTCAGAGTCAGCCACTTCGATTCTATTCTCATCAGTCCAGGTTTCGCCCTCATCAATCCCCCCAATTCCACAATTAACATAGCTTCAGCCTTCAGATATTAAGATCCTCTTTAATGCCATCTCCAAATACCATCGCAACCAGAACGAAAGTCTATCGCCTTTCCGGTTTTCCTGCTCTTGGATGAGCAATGGATTCTTCAGATTTTAATTTCGACGGTTCAAATTGAAAATATCATTTTATATTAATCTATTAAAATAAAAAATTATAAAATAGTTTTAATAATATTTTTATTTTTAATTTAAGTTAAGAGATCTAATTTAATATTAAAATTTTTATAATTAAATATTTTAAATTTTTTAAATATATTTTATACAGTTCAAATATTATATCTGAATTACTAAACTATATAAAATTTATATAAATAATCAATATACATTAATTATAAAAAATTTAATATTAAATTGAATCTTTTAAATTAAATTTAGATAAAAAAATATTAAAATTATTTTATAATTCTTATAATTTTTTATTTTAATAAATTAATATAAAATAATATTTAAAATTTGAATTGTTTAAATTAAAATTTAAATGGTTCAAATTTCATCTCTTAGATGAGCACTATATGCTCGTCCAAGAGATAAGCAGGAAAACATTTTCTAAGACCATTCAAATTTAATTTGTATCAATCATATTTATAACTTGTAACTAATTTTTTTTTAAGGTTATATTTTTAAGAATCAGATAGTTAAAAAATTATTTTTACTTTAAATTATATATCTATTAGAATAATTTTTTTGAAAAAATAAAAATAAAAAGTTATAAACTGAAACATAAAATTAAATTTAAATAATTTAAAGATAATAAACTTTCAATGTTCATATATGATAAACAATGAAACTAATTGTCATCAAAATCTCTCGAACTCATGTACACGCGCCAGACTCACTTTCCCCCAACAAGCCGAAGAGAGGACGCCGTCCCCATGCTCATCAGTAAGTGCTCATAATCTTTTGGCTGATCTGAGTGACTCATTTTATTTTTAAAATATTCTCCCATTCATTTTAAATTAATTTTTAAACACTTTTAATATTATATTTATTAAAATGAAAATTATAAAAATTATAAAAAAATTAATATTAAATTTGGATTACTTTATGTGCTCATATGTGTATGAGTTTCATGTTACTTATTATTCCGGTAGATAACAGGAAGGAGAGGCAAATTCATTTTTCTCTTAAATTATTATTATTATTATTATATCCTCAAGAACATTCAATGTTTTAAACTCAATTTTAATACATTCTTACCATTAAACATTTAAAATTGGATCATTTTTGCCCCTAACATCAACTGTAAGTATAGCCATTAAGTGTTGCATTGGAGCATTGGGTTAACTATTATTCTTACCTTGCATACACAATCAAAATTGAAAAAAAATGAAATTCCTTTAACAACACAAAAATCCACGAATCCAAAAGGCTGTGACAAGATTATAGCAGTTTGGTTCAAAATCACTATAATTTTCATCTTTTGGAGCGGTTTCATGAAACCGCTGCTTAGTAACCATTAGAGTATAACTTTTTTTTTTTTTGGCATTGCCTAGTCCTATAAAGTAGAGAAAAAATATTTATTTTAATTTTATTTATAAAGTATATCAATAATTATTGTATTTGTATTTACCCTTTTTCTCTCATTAAATGTTGAAAAAGTTATTAAATATTACTTCAGTCCTTTTTTATAAGACACATGATGGTGTATTATTTAAATTTTTCTAATATTTTACTTATTTAAACTTATTAACTATGAGAGAGAATGTAATGTAAATTTAAAAATATTTCTTTTTAAATATGGGTAAATTTTGGAAGTATATTTTATTTTACAGACAAAACTAATGACTTAACTACATCTTCTCATTTCAATAAGGAGGTTAGATCTGTCTTATAATAAAGATTGGAGAAAATACTAAATTATTTTATATTTAAAGTGTATATATGTTTAATAAATGTAAAGTTATAAACTTGTTGAAGTGCTAGACAAAGTAAATTAAATTTAAAATTTTTTGTTTTGTTAAAATATGCTACAAATGACTTATGGATAAAACGGCTGTGCATATGCTCCTTTCTTCTGTTTCATAGGTAGCAAGGGAATTTATCATAATAAGGATCTATCAATTGGCATCAAATATTGTCTATATTATTGTTAGAAGCTGAACCTTAACTTAGCTTGTATTTTTTACTAGGGTTTCCTTAGAAATTTAATAAGTTAATATTCAACTTTTAACATCAATAAATATATATTTTCATGAAGACAATATCCATTAAAAAATTGAAGGCCTTTATTACAATAAATTCTCTTGAGAGGACCTTAAATATCATTCTCCCTTTTCATTTTTTTGAGAGAAGTTCTGTGAATTATATTATAGATTCTAGATTGACAATATCTGAGTCCATTGTTTAGACCAAGGGCATTAATTAGTGCAGAATAAGATAACAATGATATAAGGAAAATTATTTATTGTTTAGAAAACTTGATTAATTGACAGACCAATTCAGCCAAAAACTAACGAACCAGGACAACTTCATCCACGAAAATTGATCAAAATCTATACACTCATGAAAACTACAATATCCACTTCAATGTTAAATTCTTCATCTTAAGTATGTTTTAGCTTTTAAGGTTGTTTATCAAAAGAACTTAAATCATTTAGTTTGACACATTTCAAACTTTATATATTCATAACCTATTTTTTTAATTTCTTGGTATGGATTTTTTTATCTCTAACATTCTCTCCACTACTTGTTTCTTTATTTTCTTCTTCTCATCAAGGCTCATACTTTTTATAGTCTCAAAAACCTTAGGTGCATATAATCTTCATTTTTCCCCCTCTTCTCTCTTTTTTTTTTTTTTTGCCTCTTCATTTTTTTCCCTTTTTTTTTTTCTTTTTGTTGTGTTTTTTCAAGTCCCCTAGATCACCTGCCATTAATACCTTGTTAAATTCTTTACGTTAAGTAAGCTTAAGAATAGCCAGCTGTGCCAAAATAGTTTAAGCTATAATTTGATTAGACATATTCTAAACTTTATATATATTCATAATTTATTTTCTAATATATAAATGTAAAACTTCTTTATCTCTAATAAAACGAATACCCAATTTATTGGGAGTGATTGCAAATTCATAGCAGTAGAGATATCGATCTTCTGGTTTAGATTGTACAAAGTTGACAAAACAGAAAATTTATATTATTTCTTAAGTCTGTTGGAAAGAAATTACAAAGTAATATGATCTTATTCCAAAGTGGTTCTCCTGTGCGTAGATTATTAGAATACCATCGCTATACATACGCCTACTCAGTCATGGGGGGGCCAATCTCCAAACACAGATGCTTTAAGAACACCTATGTTGCAATAATCAAATCAGCAAAATGGAAAAGATTTACGAGGGACGATTTGAAAGAGAAAAACATGCAAGTGAAGTCAATGAACTATATGTAATATACTTTTTAGATATTGTGAGTTCATGAGGCAATCAATGAACAATCATCGTTTCAAATATAATTATTAACAAAAACTAACAATGAAAAAGATGAGATAATAATTCTTACGAGGTGAAGGCCTAGGTTTCTCCAATAGCCTAGCCGTTGTGAGGAATTGAAAGCAGAAGAGAAGAAGCACAATAATCAAGAAAAGGTTCCAAACAAGCTTCTTCATGTCACTGACCATCTTCTTATTCCAACACACTTGTATAGAAGTAAAACGTTAAGCCACCGATTGACCCTCTTATACACACAAGAGATGTGGAGGACATAAACAACCTGTTTAGATAGTTGAAATTTCTTTAGTCATAATTTTAAATTGGGTAAAGAGAAAATTAGCTCGTAAAACTATACGTCCAAAAAGGTCCAGGATTCTAAACTTATTTCTTATGCAATATTTTCTTTCAACTTTTAAAAATAATGTAATATGGCCTATATTGTTACCAAAAGTTAACCTTGATCATTTATTTGATCGGAAAATAATCATAAAAAAAGATCTCAAAAATTACAAAAAATGACTAGTAAAATTTTCTTGACTGTTTTCTGTAATTTCATTTTTGGGTCCTTTATTGTATTTCTTTTGTCCTTTTTTATAATGTTTGATCTTACTTTTTTTTATTTTTTTAGTTAACTAATGATCAATGTTAACTTTTGTTAACAATAAAGGCCAAATTGTACTATTTTTAATAGTTAAAGAGGAATATTGCATAAAAATAAATTTAGAGTTCTAAACATTTTCAGACCTATAGTTTATGAGCTAATTTGCTATTTTAACTTTTAAATTTTGTTATTATCAAATATGATTTTTTTTAAAAATAAAATCTCATCGGCTAGCCTGAATAAAAGCAAAAGGAAAACGAGGACACGGGAGCAAAGACTTGGAATTGTTGAAATTTAGTCTGCCTATGGAATTGAAAATTCAGAGTAACTTGTATGCATCAACAAGTACGTCACTAAAAAAGGAATCCACATATATGAAGGATGATTGATTGATTGATTCAATGATAAAAATTTCGTTAACACTATTTTTTTAATCATAGATTGAACAAGTCTATGTTTGGAACTTATTTTATACGCAATATCACCTAGGCATTGATTAATGTAACAGATAGATTCTTGTATATGATTAATTTGCACAGAATCTGAAAAATGACCAGGCTATCCATTACTTATAAATTTAGTTTAACATATTATAAACTATTAATTCATGTTGATGATGATGGTTGGGCCATTGGGAATTTGGGATTCAATCTTTGTGAAGAATAATGGCCACCACTGATGTCAAACTCTTAAGTTAACTTTATGAGTTTACCGTTTTTTATATTTTTAACTTACAAAATTGTATTACCTTACTTATAAACTCAAACTGATAGTATCCAATTCCATTTCTGGTCTTCGTCCTTGGCTTTGTGAAAAAAGAAAAAGAAAACAAGAAAGGATTATCGGTGGTCAATCTCCATTCATTGACTATGAAAGATTTGATTGGAGTTCGGTGGTCTCGATCTATATCTCCGTTCCCTTGAAATATTTATTTTCTATATTTCCATTTGTTCTTCTATGTTATGTACTTCTACCATTTCAAATTATAAGATATTTTTTAGCAGAGATTCGACATCTCAAAATATAAAACACTTTGACAAAAATAAAATTTCATTAACCATTCTTTTTCAATATTCCATTTACATTATATTCTCTCTCTTTATTATTCTTTTATAAATGGAGTATTAAATGTAGAATATTTTTTGAAGTTCATATTTTGTTTTGAAAAAAATAAAGTTATAAAGTGTATTTAATGAGTTTTATTGACATATATAACTTTGTCTAAAAATATTTTATAATTTAAGATGAAAGGAGTATTATTTATTGGTGAGTTTTGATATTAGATCGTTTGAATATACGAATTTGCAACATTTTTTGTGATAGCAAAATTTCACTTTAAAGCATGTGCTTGGTTCAATTAATTGATGATGTTAAATCAATTTACATAGTATCAATTCGAGTCTTAAGATATATTGTTGCTTTAAATATATACTCTCCCTGCCCCTATATATAAGGTATTTGCTAGAAGTTTATTTTGTCCTTACATATAAGGGGTGGCAATGATTTTTTGAGTAATTAGATAATTTTACCCTTATCTTAAAAAATAAAATAGATCATTAATTGTATGTTTTCTCTACCACCATCGTAATATTAATTATGATATTATTAGGAGTGAAACTGAAAAATCATTATATTTTTATGTGAGTTTAACTAAATAATAGACCTTTATTGATATGCAAAATTTGATTAAAACACTTTATATAAAAGGACGGAAGGAGTATGTTAATAGTATCTCAAGATACTTGTGAAGTTGCAATTAGTAATAATAGTTCTATACTCTAGGGATTCATATTTGTTGAAGCGTGAGGTGCTGATATTTCTAAGTTTCTCATAATACCAAGCCACTGAATAGAACAAAAAGAATTTCACTTTAAGCCATATAGGTTCAAAAAAAAAAACAGAGTAAAAATATTTTAATTGATAATTAAATGAATAAAAGTAAATAAGAAAAATCAAATATTCGGAGAGAGCATTCCAATAACCTAAACTTTAGGAATTAGGATTCACCCTGCCACTAGTTGCAACATTTTAGCCTTTAAATTGACTTTAGATCAATTATTGAGACAATTATTCTTAAAAAATATATTTTAATTACCTCCTGGCTAATTAATTCCTATTTAATTAAGATTGAATTCAATCTCGTGTAACTCAAAGCCCTAGCTAATCAAATCACGAAGTTACAATTTAAATTAAATCACCAGATTCATAAATCTACATCTAATTTAATTACTTGTGTCTACCTCGGCTCACGATTCATCTCTTATTCTGTGAAGTTTACCCATAATTATATCATGTTGATCAAGCATAACATATCAGAACAAATAAGAGAGATAAACATAGGTGAAAAATATTCAAATACTCTCTCTAATTCTATTTATAAGTCACATTCAACATATTTTACTATAATTAAGAAAAATCATAAATCTCATTAATTTTGTTTTAAAATTTAATAAGTTTTCACCTCTACCCCCTAATAAAGAACAAAAGAACTATTTTTAATAATTTTTTTCTAGCATTTGATAAGGACATAAAGGTAAAGATAGACATAAAAAAATTGTAAAATGCCCTATAAATATGACTAAAATTAATTTTTTCTCTGTCTTATAAATAAAATAAGAGGAATATAACTATTATAAATCCATAAAAGGTCAAACAAAAGAATAGAGGCTAGTTTCCCATTTGAGTTACATTTCCATTCCCAATTGAGTTATTTAGAAATACATATAAAATTTTAATAAATGTTGTTCTAAAATTCTCAATCATGAATAAAAATCACAAAGAAAAATAAAGAATGGAAAAGAAAAATTAAAATATAAATACAACACTCCAATTAATTATCTTTTTTCCATCTTCAAAATATTTGTATGAGCTTTAAATATTTGGAAGAGAATTATTGAGGTATAAAAATAAGTGATTGGATGCCTAATTCTTTTCTTCAATGGATGGGAGTATTTCTAGTTAAAGTTGAAATTTCTCCATTTTATGTGCATTATCTTCTTTTTAGACTTTTCACATTATTTTGCAATGTCCATATTTAATATTTTTTTATATTGCATGCGCATACATCTTATTAGAAACAATCGAGGTGCAATAGAGAAAAATTTTTTTATCATTCTTTCAGGTAAGTGAATAGTTGAGAAGAGAGTTAAAAAAAAAAACAAAGTAAAGACCATAAAAGGAAATAATGGAGGAATAATAGAGAGCCATTAAATTTTGAACATTTTGGCGTGACCTCAGGTATTGCAAGTCTTTAACTCAAACTAATCTGATTGACAACTTACGAGCACCGTTTTGGGGGCATGACTCCCACCAGGATCTTAATCATTGTTGCATACATAGAACTTGAACTCAAAACTTTCAGTTAAGCTGAATCAATCTCCTTGTTACTGGCCAGTTGATCCAAACGCCTCTAACAATACATAGAAAGAGCGCACACGCACACACACACATATATATATAGTCACGACAGTAGAGATTCATATGTCTATTGATTTACTCTTCAGAACCCCCCCTCCTCTCTCTATCACGCACACACGCATATCTTGAGTAATATTGAAATCAAGACTACAAAACAATATGATCTTATTCCAAGGTGGTTCTCCTTTGCGCAGCTTTAGCACACCATCACCATAAGAAACGACTTGAGATAATGTTAGTCATGAGGGGGCCAATCGCCAAACCAATCGTTTCCTAATAATCAAATAAGAAAAAACGGAATTTAATGACGGTTAGAATTTAATTAAAGAAAACCTAATAATGAAAAACATGACCGAGTTTAGATATATATATATATATATATAACCTTACCAGCCGATGAAGTAGCAGATTTGTAAAATTTATTGAGTGACCGAGCCGTTGCAGAGAATTGAAAGGAGATCAAGAGAAACACAAGAATCAAAATAAGGTTCCAAACATGCTTCCTATTCATTTTACTAATCATCTTCTTCCAACAGATTGAACCAACACGACCTGTGTTCTGAGATTTGGAGCCAGATGAACTTGTATTATATAGGAGTCGGGAGACTGCATATCCTAATTATATCACAGTTAAATTATTTAAATTTTAAATTAATGATAAATCATTCACTTATTTTTAATTTAATCATCACTACAAGAGAAAGTCGTGTGTATTTTTGTTGGCCAGAAATTTAAGTCGTGGGTGATTTAAATCGTTCAATTATTTTATATCATCATCTTCATCATTATCGTTGTTGTTGTTATTTTTATAAGCATGTTTTTAATTTTTTGGAAAAAAAAATAGAAAGAAAACAAGAGTATACAACACGCCACGAATTAAGAATCTGAATATAAAATTGTGAAAAATCTGACTATAGAATTGAAAATTAAGAATAGGCATCATCAACGCGCCACGAATTAAAAAAGGACCCACAACAGAGGATTTGCATAATAAAAGCAAATACGATTTTTTTTAAAAAAAAAAGCATTTACCCCTAACCTAATTCATCTTCATAGAAAGAAAAATACATGCATAGATGCACTCAGGCATGCACACAAATAAGTCAGTGCTAGATTTGAATACGAGACCTTGACTTCTTCCAAGTGAGGAAGGTAATATTGCTGTTAGGACAACTAGCTATTATCAGCAAATACGACTTTGTCACAAGGAGTTCAAACTATTCATTGCTGGATTATTTTAAATCTTAAGATCACGTTACTCATCAATTTTTTGACTGAGTCTAGCGTCAATAATTTATTTTATTCCCTCTTAACTTATTTATAAGGCAGATACAGAAGATTTTTTTTTATTTCTATTTATAAGTCACATCATTAAATTTTTATTACAAATTACCCTTTTTTCCTTTCATTGAATGTTGAAGAAAAAATATGTTATTAAAATATGCATTTTTTAGGTTTTTTTTTTTATTCTCATAAAACATATTAAAAGTAACTTATAAATAACACTAAAGAAATTTGTCAATGTACCCAAGCAGTATTCATAAGCGTACCAGGTACGGTTCCTGGTGAGCTATAAAGTTTGACAATTAAGTATAACATGTTCGAACAACTTGATCTTCAAGAAATAATCAGGGATGTAATGACATGTGAAAAATTACAAACAACAAATAAAAATAGGATGAAATAAGCTGAATTTCAGATTCACTGAATTCACTATTTTTTATTTTGGTTTGAGTGAGTTTGTCATATCGTATCAATGAGATACATATAACACCTAACATGGAAAAATATTTTAATTATTTTTCAACAGAAAGAGGAATCATATAAATAAAAAATTACCCTTTAAAATAAGAAGAATATGCACCATTAGCAAGAACAAAAAATATGAATAAAGTTATTATTAGTTTACATAAGATACTACAAAAGCTACTGCATGTCTTTTTTTTTTTTTAAAATATAACACAGCAACTTCTATTAATAAGATAACTAAAAAAAATCAGTAAGGGAGTTTGTGATAAAAAATAAAAGTCTTTGAGAATTAATTTTAAAATTTTAAAAGCAAGGAGATTCTATGTAACTACTTTAAAGTTTAGGAAAGTTTTGTACATTTTAGTCTAATTTAATTAGAGATAGCTCTCCTAATATATATAAAATATTTTGTCCATCCATGAGTTCAAAACCACGGCCTTGGTTAAATGAAAGAAATTGAATCCCAACAATTATTTACTTATTTCAAGTTTCATTTATAATTAATTTGTGATAGAAATGTCATTATTTCATATAGTTGACATTGGGATTTTTTACTTTATTAAGAGTAATTGAAAATAGAGAAATTTCTATCAATGAATCACTTATGTGATAGAAAAGTCATTATCTCCTCATCACCAAAAAAAAGTCATCGTCTCGTATTTTTTTTTTTTTTACATTTTAGTCTTAAAACTCTGTCCTTCGTTGAAAGAGTCAAGCATTCAATTATTATCATAATTAAATTAGTTTTTTTTTGCCTGAATTATATTAGTTGAATCTATGTATGTGTAATAACCCAGAAAAAAAATTATCTGTATAGAAGAGTTGGAATGGAGAAATCAATTTATATATTTGCATTAAGGATTAGAATTTGAATTTAGTTTGTTGAGTCTCTACATTGAAACTTAAAATGATACAGATATTTTTAATGTATATATGTGTATTATGTGATGGAAATTAGTGGGAAAAAAATTTGAAGAGAAAGGAGCTTGGCGTTATAATTTAAATATTGAAGCATGTAAGTTATTTGGCATAGTGCTTGAAAGGAAAAAAATTTTGTTGTTTTATTGGTAATAATTAAATTATAAGGTAGATAATTATTATCCACAAGGAAAATTGGAATTGGAATTAAAGGTTTTTGGAAAGTATGATAATTTAATTATGAATGTTTAGAAGTTTGTTGGACAAGAGATTGAAGATTAAAAAGCTTATTTGAATGGTTTGGAAAATGATACACCTAAGGTGTTTGATAAAAGGTATAAAAGAAAGCCATATCACAATGGACTAAGTAACTATGGCTAAAATTTTATAGAGAAATTTTTAATATAAATGGAGGTGCATTAGGGAATTTAACTAACTTATAGATAGTCTATTAAAATTTTATTATATAACTTTTTAGGATGTGTGGAGGAAGAGCAACTTGATAGGTGTGGAAGGGAGTGAGCTTTAGCATGTGAGAGTATTGCAGATAAGTGAATAGCATCCCAATTAAATATCAATAAAATTTTCTTGATAAAATTTATTAATTTCATTTTATTTTTTTATTGCTAGCAAACCATGTTTATCAAAGAATGTTTTCTTTCTTGGGTAATTTTACTTTAATGGATCAATTTCTTATGTGAAATTATATTATATTGAATCGGTAAAGTGTTCACACAAGTTCAAATGAATTTTATTTGATAAAATCATGCATGGAATTGTTAATGAAATTACAAAATGTTAGTTATGAAAATTTTCGTGCATGTTTGAAAGTTGAATTTAAAGGAGGATTATATGCAAAACATTAGTTGCTAACGGCATTTCTGTTAGTTCTTGGTGCACTATAGTTAATGACTAGCTGGTTCATTTCATGAGATTTATTCTCACATCTGATATTTGTGAGTCTTATACCTGTGTATGTTTCATGGCTTCTAACCATGTTTGGTTAGTATTATCCTTGTAAACTGTATATCTACATTTGTTTTTGTGGCTTAGGCCACATTTGATTATTTACCCTCGTAGACTGTGTGTTTACATTTGTCTTCATAGTGTAAGTTGGGTTTAGTTATTTACCTTCGTGGACTATGTATCCATATTTATTATCTGTTTTGTAAAGTCATTAGAATATTAACTTTTAAATGATTTGTGTAATTTGTACCTCATTGGTTTTATTTAGTAAATGTTTCTATTTTTACTTGTTTTATTTATTTAATCTATTGATTTCTCAAGATCAAATAATAAGGTTACTCTATTATTGTAAATTTAATGGTTTATGATTTTTGATTCCAAGATTAAGTGAGTATATTGTATTGAACTATTTTTTTTCAATTATTTACATAATTGCTTGAGTTCATTTGGTTTATTCTTTTAAATTTTATCATTATTGAGATGTTATTTATTGAAAAACTATTTTGGCCTCAGATATTATAATTGACGATGTACCTCTAGCTGATCATTGAAGGGCTATCTTTTGACTTGAAGTGAAGAAGTTATTGATGTAAAATTTAAATTATGCATTGATATTTTGTAAATCTTATTTCAGGTAATCCACCTAGCTATAGTTAGGAACATCATGTGTGTTACGCATGATTTATCTTCTAGAAGGAGCAGAGCTCCTGTTGATGCTATTCTGTATTGGGAAATGTCATTATGGAATTTTTAAAAAGTCCTATTTTCATGGAGATTCTGTTAAATTTTTTACAAAAATATTAAATTGTTTGTTCTTATTATTAGCATTAAAAATGGTTCAATTTATTATTAGACATCTTCATGGCTTAGAAATTAGAGTTTTCTAAATTAAGGCTTTTGTAATAAAGGTTTTGTTCCTATATTCCGTGCCAGTCATGCTTTATTTTCGAGATATGACAATTTAATTCCTGAAAAATATAAAAATGATTTTCCTAACATTCGAAGTCTATGTTAGCAGGGAACTAATTACCTTTCATTTCTCATTAACATTCTAATTTAATTTATTTCAATATTCTAGAAGAACTTAGAAAATGGAAAATTAAAATTTCTATATTGCATAACACGTAGTAATTAAAACCTTACTTTTAAAAAACCACAACTTAGTACTCTACCATGACATAAAAGATTTACACCCAATAAAACAAAAATATACCATAATGTTACAAAAATTTAAAACCCAATATTAGTTGACTAAAGAAAACATTAAAACTCAAGATTAAAGGTCTATCATGGAAATAAAAAGTGAAGTATATATTATTAAAGTATAACATAACACCACTATAGTAAAAATATCCATACTCCCTAAATTAAACAATACGTCAAATTTCTGAAAATACTATTTTACTTAAGAAGATATCAAACATCCTTTTTCAGTAAATCATGTTGACATCCAAAATCGATTTATCAATGAGTGAGCTAGGGCACATTGAGGCCCATAACATACAAGTTATCACATTCTAAATAATGTTCGCATAACTATTTACAAAACGAGAAACAAGGTAAAACAACCAGCTATTTCTAATACTCCAAACTAGCAAGTTGTCTCTGAAGTTTTAAAACAAGAGCTTTTAATAAGATCAAAACAAGTTTTTCTAACACTTCAAGAGGACATTTACAAAATTATGTTTTACAACCCATTCAAAGTATTTTGGTTAAAATATAAATAATACAAGATCCCAAAAGTATCATTACAACAAAAAAGGCAAGGCCTATTGGAACACTCTTATTAAAGCACTCGTGTAAAAATGCTCAAAAAATTGACACGGAACGTACTGGAATACTAAAAAATTAAAGCACTTTGGAAGGCTGAACCTATTGGAGCGCTTATGACCATAAGAGCTCCTAAATGTATCTAAAATTTAATCATTTTCTCATTAA